CCAGCCCCCGGGGGGGTTGCCACGCCCCCCGGGTTGCCTATCGGCAGCGGCGGAGCAGCTGAGCAGCGCCAGAAGCTGGCGGGGGAAGGGGGAAACGCCAACAGAACTGTGTGCCTGCCCCTCCTGAGCCTGCCCGGCCCCGCAGCCGGCTGTGCTTCGGCAGGGCTTCGGGCAGAGCATCGCCGCAATCGGTCCTCGTCGGCCGGCAGCAGGAGGTTTGTGAAGGGGAGGATTGGAGCGGTGCTCCTGCTGGACGCTGGGCACGCTGACCTCGTCCCTGGCTGGAGCGTCGCAGTAGGCGAAGGAGGCAGGAGTTGTTGCGCACGTGGAAAACGAGAAGTAAGAGGACTTGCAGCTGAGGGGTGACTCTGGACCCGGTCCGTACGGAGGTCCCTGGCTGCATCACCTTGGGGCGAGACACGCAGAGCCAGAACTGCCTTGAAGTGGTCTAAAGCTGGCACTTTGCAACTCGTCAGAGAGCCAGCTGATTCAGTTTCTCAGCTCTTTATCTCCATATCCAAGTATCTGTAGGGTCTTGCTGGTGTTTTCCAGATAAATACTTTAATTGGGGCTAGTTCCAATCCCACAGAGAATAGGCTAGGGAAGTTGCCTGCTTTTCTTTAAATTTCGTTACGGGGGAGGTGGTCGCTACCGTGCTTCAGTCTTTGGACTGCGGTTGAGCTGGACGTGCATCGATACCTTTGGGACACCGTCACTGCTGCGCCTCACAGATAACAAGAATCTAATCCTTGCCGTTTGTGCTTGTTCCCTCAGGTGTCTGCAATGCTCTTTCCCTGGAAATTAAAGCCAGTCCTAAAGTGCGAGCTTTCGTTGGTGAACGAGTATCGCTGAAATGCTCATTCAGATCCAGCTCTCCCATCACTGAGAGCCTGACGGTAGACTGGACGTACCAGCCTGTCACAGGTGGTCAGATGGAGACGGTAAGTGGAACAGGGAGTCTCGTTCTAGTGGAGACTGACCAGGCCTCTGGGCTTGCTGAAAATCTGATGGGATTTTTTCCGTTTGCCTTGCTGCGCAGCTTCGTCACTGTGGGGTTTGGGACTCTCGTCGTCGCCTTCTTTCCCATGTGAAGTTGCTTTAGTGTTCTTTGGGCTGAAAATATTCTCTGTAAATGCATAATAGCAAGATGATGATAAAAGCAGATAAACTCTGGGTTTTGACACAAGTGCCGCATCGTATGCCGTAGCCGTGTATAGGATGACTGTAAAGCGTTTGCTTGGTAGCTTTCTTGAAGGCAGCTGTACCCTAGGAGTTGTGTCGTGCAGTCTGCTGCTGCTGTATCTCGGAGTGGTAAGAACACGTGTGCAGTGACGGTCTGAAGACAGTGATGACGACAGCCTCCAGGGCTTAGGGGCTGCTGCTTGCTCTTTTGTTGGCAGCATTTTGAAACGTAAGTGTAAATACGTAAGTCTGAGAGCCCACTGGAAATCTCTCATTCAGGGTGGAAGCAGAAAATGCACGTCTTTGCAGATGGTCAGTGACACCTGCTGCCTGAAGAGTTTGAACTCTTAGGAGTGTCCTTGTATCTGGAACAAAAGGGCGGTGCTTGCATGAAGTGAGGTCTGCTAAGTCTCTACTCGTAGGACAGCGAGAGCAAAAATGCAGGAAGAAAAGCTGATGAACTGCAGCGTTCTGTCTTGCACAAGACAAGAAGCCTGCTCCGCTTCTCGACTGCAGATGTGCGGAAGGGAACAAGTTGGTCAGAATGGTGATGGTGACACCTGAGAGCTGAGGCTGGTAGATAAAAGCATTGGAGATCTAATCGGGGGGGACTGACTCAGAGTGGTCAAATAGGAACTTGAAAAGGTCTCCTCTACGAGCAGTATTCTTTCTGACTTCTTAACGTGTGTTCCTTTACGTTTACCATCCAAAAAGCAGTTTGCTTTGCTTTCTTACATGAGTGTTTTCTTGGCGCAATGAGTGTCTTTGCTTCCTTTTAGATTTTTCATTATCAGTCTGTTCCGTACCCAACAACAGTGGGAAAGTTCAAAGACAGGATATCCTGGACTGGGAATGTTGCCAAGGGCGATGCTTCCGTTGCTATCCAAAGCCCAGCGATGAGTGACAACGGGACGTTCATCTGCAGCGTGAAGAATCCCCCGGACGTGTACCATAACATTCCCCAGACAATGCTGGTAGTTACGGAGAGGGGTAAGCCTCCGTTGCAACAGCACGTCCTCACCTACGTGCTACAGCTGCCTTGCAGCTTTGTCGGAACCGTAGAAGTCTGAGCATCACACGTGAAATAGGTTCCCTGGAGTTCCGCCTTAGAATTTCAGCCAGAGTCACCTCAGCCCTTCTTTCGGAGCTGAACACGTTGAGAACTATTGAATTTCTTGGGGGCAGGAAGGCGCAGAGGACGCTGTGGTAATAACAAAAATCAAAAGTGTGCCTTTGTTCAGGAGTTCCGGTCTCCACGCATTGCAGCAGCAGAACAAGTTAAATGTTTAGGAAGTGCTGGTCTAAATGAACTGTCGCGTCGCAAACGCTGATTCTCAGCAATACTCGATTTCCCTGCCCTGCGTGCGAGACCTGCCCCAAATTCGCAGCTTAGACGTGCTGCTAGAACTACGTCGTGACCTGCCTTCCTTTGTAATTTTTTGCTACAAAAAATAGGCGTTGGCTATGCGATAGGAGTCCTACAGATTCAGTGACAAGCTGTTTCAAATCTGCTCTGTGCTTTATATGAAAAGACCAGCAACCTGTGTCCTGGGTGAACGTTTGTCACAGAGGCTTCAGAAAGCCGTATTTTATTCCTGGTACAGCTGGCTGCTCTTTGTCTTTCCTGCAGGCCTTTCCTTCCAGCTAACTTCAGCGGTGCTGCTGTCCATTTTAGTATTTCTCCCGTCCGTCATTGTGGTCATCCTGCTGTTGGTAAGGATGGGAAGGAAATTTGGAGTGCTAAAGGAGAAAAAAAAGCCTGGCTGTAAGAAGTCCTCCATCGAAGTGTCTGATGAGTAAGTTCTGGCTGGAACCCGACGCCTGTATTTCTGCTTTGGCCTGTTGAGACAGGCCAAAGGACAGTTCCTCCGCTGCTCTTCCTTTCATAGCGCTCAGCCTCTGCAGTTCGGTCATGAAATCTGCTTCTCCGTGAGCATAATTTAGGCAGCGGTCAGAGAGCTTTGGAAAATCCCCATGTTGGAGCGTAAACTAAGTGCTGTACGTCCCCCTCTTTCTGTCCTTCGTGTGAGGCCGTGGAACTGAAGCCGTTCAGGGTTAGACAGTCTTTCACTTCTGTAATTTACTTCAGCTGAAATCAGCAAGATATTTTGCTTATGTGGGCTTCATGTGCTGCATTTTGGTATGAAGTATCCATAACAACAAAACAAACCGAATGACGCTGACTGGTTCCCCTGCGATGGCCTGAGCAGAGATGCCAGGTACTGAATGAGCCTTGGAGACGGGATTCCCTGCTGGCCCGGGGGGATTCTGTTCTGGAGAGGTTCGGCAGTGGGAACGGCGAGGCAACGCTGCTGCCGCCGGAGCTGCACCTGGTTTTGCAATGAGCTCAGCGCCACAATTTCTCGCAGAATGGGTTTTTAATACAATGTTCTGATTAGCGTCGTAAGGTTTGCCAGCCAAACAGCAGCTCTTGTTGTGTTCTTCCTGGCACTTAAGCGAAATGTCTGCCTTCAGAATAAGGGCTCTGACGTTTTTGTATTCTTTTTGGCGTTGCTGTGCAGAGTCCAAGGCTTTTCATCGCGATGCAAAGCCTTCGATTCAGCGCGGTAGAAGTAGAATTCAGGGTCCGTAGGAGGTAGTAGTACGTGTGTTGGGGAAAAGTCCAGCCTAATCCCATGCTTTTTCTGCAGGCCTGAACACACCGAGACAGACAGCTGCTTGGGGAAGCTCAGAAACTGGTGTCTGAACTGTGTGGTAAGTGAAAGCTGGTGTTTTCATAAGTGGTTTTGTCAACTTTGGTGCTCAGAGGAGGTGCTAAGAGCAGGAGGTAGAGCTTGTCATAACACCTCTGGATGTCAAAGCAGCGTCCCAAATGCCTAGGCTTGTGCTCCTTGGCGTTTCCCACGTACGGGCTATAGGGGGTGCGAACTGCTGGCCCTGCTGCATCGCTGGGGCGAAGTTGTCTGGAGGTCCACCGGTCCTGCTGCACTCTCGTGGTTTGTTTGTTTCTGGCTTTTTGTTTGGTTTGATGCGTGACGTGCTGCTCCTCTTTTGTTCGGTCGCTGCCCTATGAGCAAGCTGCTGTTCATCAGACCCGTCCTGCCGGGACTACTCGGTGGTTTTGCCGCCTGCTGTGCTTGTTCTGTAGAATGCGCCTCTGAAGTTCTGCTGGCGTTAGCAGCCACAGCCCCAAGCGTGGCGCGTTCCAGAGCAAGCTCGCTAATCGGCCTAATTTGAGAGTGTTTTCACGTTTTCCTGATGTCCTGCAGAGCAAGCTTACCTCAGATGCGCCTTTACGCGTTTTGTACGCGGTCAGGAAGTACACGAAGGCGGGTTTAAATGCGTGTAGCTTGATTCGCTATCCTGATGTCAGTGATTTAAAATGTGCTAAGTGCCTGAGCCGTCAGACAGGTGTGCGCTGATGGTTTCTGGGCTGTATTGGACACAGAATGAAAAACAAACAATTACGGGAGTTACATAGCAAATATTTACAATTCCAGATAAGACACGACAGTTACAATGTAGCAGTATCGGGAAAAGGAGTTTTGGGAAAGCGGAGGATGCTCTGTGCGGAAGCCAGAGCTGCCACGGGAGGTGGAGGGCTGCTGGCAGCGACGCGCTGGGGAGCGGGGAGGCACCGCTGCTTGGCGGCGGGGGGCGAGGTGGGAAAGGGCGGGAGCCCCCGCTCGCCGAGACGCACGCTGCCAGGCAGCCGCAGATTTTAACAGTTGAGAAACGTCCTCTCATCCTTTGAGAGAAGGCAAATTTGAGTGCTGTAATCCTGCTGCTTTCATATTGAGTATTTTGTCCTCCGTTTGATACGTTGCTCTCCGATATCGAAATATTTGGGTTACCAGGTCTCGCAACATCCTGCCTCGCTCACTTTAGTGACTCTCTATTTTTGAGGTTTCTGTAATGTACTTTTTCGTGCTTAATATGCTACCACATAATTAAAATTGCAAAGCAGTGAAAACCTGTTTGGACTGAAAATGGCTGGAAGGTTAGTGAGGTTTCCCTTATGGAGCTGTTACGTTTGAGGTTCTGTCAAGTTGAGAGCTGCAGAGCTGGATTGTGGGGACGGCATCAGATGGTTACTGTGGCTAAAACAATAGACGATGGGGATCTGAAAGCGTGTGGTTGCTTGCAGCTGACAAACAACAACTTGTGCTGCTCCCGACCTTCTCTGTAGGGACTGGAGGTGCTTTTTAAGAAGATGGCCATCTGCACTTTATGGTTCGTCTTTTGCTTGAGCTTTAGCTGCTGCTTCTCTAAAACACACGTCACGTGTTGGCTCTACGGTGGCAATTTGTCTGCGTATCTGCGATAAGTCAAACAGATTTAGCTGCGAGTGCGTATACGACTACAAGTCCTATGGCTTATCCAAGCACAGCAGCGTTTTGGAAAGCATTTAAGCTCTTGTCAGAAGCCCCAGCAGACCCAAACTTTTACTGAACTCGTAACTTGGTTCGTGTCTTCGTACATAGTCTCAACTTCTCTCTTCATGCTCCCTGTTTAGGACACGGACGAGGAAGACCCATACTGATGAAAGACTAAAGCTATGGATAAAGAACAAAATTGCAGCACTGAAAATCATGGCTAAATAGGTGCGAAGGCTGCTGGATAACCCGTGCAGATTGAAGGACCTGCTTTAATCTTGGGAGGTTGGAAGAATAATGCCGGTGGGATAACTCACTTTTATTTGAGTGCAAAATAATGATTTTGGAACTCTTTCTAATTTATTGGGAAAAAAAAAACCCTCTTAACCTCACTTTTCTAGTGCCTACAGAAACCTCAGTGCCTACAGCTGTACAGCCCGTCTCCTGCCAGCGCTCCGACAGCGCACGTTTCTTAGCTTACTCGCAAGTTCGTCTCCTTTATTACTGGTGATATCCCTCCTTTCCTGTGCCCCTGAATTGGAATTGCCTGAGGCGCAGGCTACTCCAGAGGGGTGTCAGCTCTCTGAGGTGGTCATCAGTTTTCTTCTCAATGTTTTTGGAACGTGCTTGCTAAGGACTTAACAGCTTGAGTAAGTTGGTATATGGCACCCTTTGTCTTGGAGCGAAGAGAACCTGCTGCTTTTTCACTCTTTATTGCCTTAATCTGCCACCGAATTACAGGACCACCATTTTGTTCCTGCTGCTTTCTGGTTCGGTTTTTAAGTCACCAGCTGCACAGTAGCGTTACCTTACACTGCTGAGTTTTAGCTTTCCTTTTTTTTAATTACTCGTCCAACAGCTGCATTACTGGGTACATATCCTTCTACTTGTAGAAGTGAAGCACAATTCATATAAAACTACTCCTTTTAAATCAGAAATGCGAATGGGGACTCTGTGTCTGGGGAAACATAACCCCATCTACCTCAACCATTGGCTCCAGCAGCGTCCAAAGGAACGTTCTGTGCTCAGAAGAGCAGGCGTGTTCTTCCCCTCTTCTCCTAGGCGCCATTTGAGGGAAACAGCCAAACGTGCGTCGTTACTGCCTGGTAAGGAAGAGGACTTTCTCTTTCACCAACCTCGTCCAGTAACGGATGGCGGAGGGCAGTGGAATTCAGGTCTGCTCAATGCCTGAAGAGCTGCTGTTTTCTGCTTCCTTGCTGTGCGCGGCATTGGTCAAATAGTCTCCTTTTACACGTGTGTTACGAGTTTGCTGTTGACTTTTGACGTGCCATTGCCAATAAATTGCTTTGTGTCATCTGGGCTGTGGATTTCTTTATTTGGCTAAGTATAGTTGAACTCATAAAACAGCCATCCTGAGTTGTTGCTTAGCTACAGAAATGGTCATATGATGATGGGTGAAGGTGTTTAGGGAACGGATTTAACTCAAAAGGGACGGGTACCGAGTCTCCCTGTAGCAGCTCTGTGACGGCTGCCAGTTGCAGGTACGTTGAAGTTCCTGACTGCAAAGCAGGTTGGCTGTAGATCTGTGTCTCCGGATAAAGAAATGTATTTTTCTCCTGTCTACTCTGAAGTAATACTTAAAAAGCTTGTGCTTCCTCCTGGCACCGTGTCTCTCCCAGCCAAAGCTTCCCTGAGGAAGGATGTTGGTGGCACACGGAGCCTGGAGGAAGTGGCTTTGTTGTTCCGCTTTCAGCAATAACACATCACGCCAGTTCTTTGTTGCAATGAACGGCTCTTGTTTTCTGCAAAATGGTTGCCTTCAGCTGCGCCTCCTTTGCGAACGGTGGGCTAGATCCTGGGCCAGTCTGCCTGGTGCAAAGCTGAATTGCCACCCTGAAGCTGATAGCATCCTGGATTGTGAATGGTGTTGAGCATGAGCAAGACTTCACTTGCTCTTCTCTTGCTGGCTGTAAGGAAATTGCTCTGTGCACCATTAAGACCACTGATACTGGGGTAGAGAACAGTGATTCCTGTGGTGTTCCAGAGGAAGAGGAAGGCTGAAAACGCACTTTCAAAGGGACTGGGGGGAGGGTGCGCCAGCCGAAAGCGGTCCAGGCTGCGTACCTTGTATGCGTTTCGAAAGGGAGCAGCTGGCTACGCGGTGAAGAGCGCGGTGACGGTGGCCCTTGTGCCCCTAGGGTGCCTGCTAACCTGTGGCCCCTGCTAGCGCCGGCGGAAAGGCTCAGCAAAGGTACTCGGTGCCGCTTGCTGCGGCTACCTCAGCTGGTGCTTTAACCAGCTCTGATCCCCAGAAACAAACCGGGAGGGAGCGCAGGCCGCAGGAGGCTTGCCTGCCAAGAATCTGTCCGTTCTTGACTCCCCACGTAACGATGGACCGGATCCATCTGCCACGGTAGAAGGACCGGGACTGAGCCGCATCTGGTACCCGCGAAGCGTCTTCTCCTTGTGAAGCTGCGCGCCCTTCACCTGCTCGCAGGCGTAGGCACCTGCAGCCCTTCCCGCCGCTCCGCACCAGTCCGTTCTGCGTTCTGGTCTGTCGGCGTCTCGCGCTAGCTCTTCACTTCCTCCTGCGAGTTGAAAGTGACCACCAAAGTGAACCTGAAATAAGACACCCGAAACCAAAGGCTGGTAAGTAACACAAACATCTTGCACATACAACCTCAAAATGATTTAGCGACATCAGATGCTCTGAATTAGTCACGGAAGAACCCTTCACGCAAGAGACAAGCTGGCTGCCCCAAGCCACGCTGGGTGAATACTTTTTGCCATAACGGTTACTTTTGGTTGGTTGGTTTTCCTGAAAAGAGAACTAAGGAAACCTAGAAGGGCTGAGGATTCAGATACCATGTGCAGGAGCAGGAAAATGGGAAGGCGGTACGGTATCTACGTACTTTTTTCCCAATCTGTTTAGTCAAGGCGATTATCCTGCAGAAGGATTTTGATACGCCAGCACCGTAATGTGCATAACAGCCTGGGCGAGTGGGTGCTGTCTTCAGCTGGCTCGCGCGCAGCACCCACTCGCTGGTGCGTGTTGCAGCGGGAGACCCTGCAAAAATGCGGTCCCAGACAGGACCAGGATTTATTCTGAGAAACAGGGTAACGTGCCCAGGAAGGATCTGATGGCAGATAAGGACCAGAGCCTCAGCAGCTCAGCTGCAGAGACCTTTCCAAGTTCCGACTGCGGCTATCCCAGTACGCGGGCTTCTGTGGGCTGCAGGCTTTTTTTTTTAAGCTGGCTCCTATTTTGGGTCCTGCACGGGGGTGGTGCCGGGAGGGTGTCGCTCTGCTGGGGTTCTACGGCTTTTGGCAGCAGAGCTGGCAAGTAGGATGCTCTGGCCTGCTGCACTGAGGCACGCTGCAGCAGCTGAGCGCTTGGGAGCCAAGCTTTGCTGTTTGCAGGTCGTGTGTGCACAAGCGCGGGTGGTACAGCAAACTGTGTCACGGCAGAGCTGCAAACAGCGCAGTCAAAGAGCACAGCTCTCCTCTCCGCCTCCAAAAGACCCAACCCCCAAGCGGGTCATGGTTTTTTGAAAGGCGGATCCGAGAGAATTCCAGAAGGCTGGCTGCCCCTTTTCAGGATTTCGTTTGTGGAAAGGGGAGGGCGATGGAGGGCAGAGGTGGCTTTACATCATGGACTGCAGGCAGAAATGCCTCGCGCTCCCTGGAAAGCCGTAGTGACTGTTTCTCAGCCTAGAACAGACCCGTGGTCCTCCAGCAGCTAATTCTGGGGCCGTAATCCCCGTCTGAGCCTGTCTCAGGGTGTTTCTGAGCTTCCTTCGCTGAGAAAAATGCCTTTGGAAAGAAAAAGGAATTAGCAGACGTGTCTGGCCACGTAAAGAGATGGAAGCTTTCTTAGGGGGTGAGCCGCGGTGGGTAGGAGGCCTTCCCCGCTCCCTGCCCGCTCTCTGTTCCTGCCGTTCCTGCCGCGCCAGGGCGCGTGCGCGGAGCTGGCGCATCCCCCGTCGCCTCCCCGCTGCCCGCGCCGTCCCCTTGCTCCTGGCCTTGCTGTCACCGTCGGCTCTGCCCGGAGCGCCAAGGACGCAGGCGCTGCCCGGGAGACTCGGTCTCCCAGGACCACGGGTCCGTCGCGGTGGCTTTCTGCCCCGCAGCACTGAAGGGAGCAGGGGATCTCCGAGAGCGATAAGAATAAGGGCAGGTGTTTACCTTACACACTTACTCGAACTCCTCTCGTGGCTGTTTCTTGGGGAGAAATATCTGGGACCTTTTCCCTTTCCAAGCCTTACTGAAGCTGGTCTAGAGATTCTATGGCTTGCACGACTGAGGAGAAATGAGAGAAGCTAGCAAGATTGCAGAGATGATTCGGCTCTTGTTGTTTTCCTATTTCTGCAGCCAAAGCGCGTGTATTGGAAAACATGTGCTGGTAACGGCAGCCTCAAATTCTACTGTAGTGTGCAGGTTCTGCAAGTGGGAGGGCTTCTCTCAACTTTTTGCCCTTAAATACGTTTATCGGTTTTGAACGGGCACGGCTTTGAATCACGGAGCGGAGACGCAGCAAGCAGGGTACTGGCTTGCGCCTTCCCGTGATCCGTGCGTGAACGCCGGCCGGCATGTTCCTGACGGTAACAGCCAGTCCTTCCTTGGGCCGCAGGGTAGGTCTACAAGGTGTAGAAAGGAGACGTGGCTTTATTTGGTGGGATGGGCAGCAGCTCAGACTGAACGCAGTGGCCAAATATGGCACTTTCTGAACAGACTCTGAAGGGCTGCAGCAGTAGGTCTCACCAAGTGCAGCACCCTGGAGCAAGGCGGGTATCTCTAGAGTAAGGGGTCTGTGGTGTTAGGACCTGTACCCAAACTTCTCTGAGCGTGTAGCAGAAAAAACGCCTCGTTGCTTTCTGAGCAGAGTTCAGGTTTGTGAACATCTCGGTTCAGATGCTAGAGACTCGACCCCCAAACCGCCGGAATGATTCGTTACTCAGGGGAAAATGCAAAGGTGCTTCAGGCTGAGCCCTCCCCCCGCTCACTCTCTCTTCCTTTTGAGGGCTCGCAGCGGTCTCAAACCAGAGACGAGCCTGACATCCGTGCTTCGCCGGGTTTCAGGCTCCCAGCTGGGACAGTGGCCAACTCGAGAGGCTGAACATCCAGGCAGCAAAGACTGTGGCCCTCTCCGAAGAACTGAAGGAAGTCTTTTTCTGACCTCGGGGTTCGGTTGGGTTGCAAGCTGTCG